AAAATGTCATTATCTTTTCTTTTTTTTTTTTTACCAGGTAGATGGTTAGGAAGTTAGTAGAGTTAATTTGTTAGCAGTTGGAATTTTTTCAGGAAAGTGAACGTTCCACCCCTCATTTGAGGCGCGCGACCATTAAGTTGCAAGTTGATGGAGTTCACGGTGGTGGCAGAGTTCGAAACCCTCACCTCCGCCTCACCCAAGCCTTAAAGCTTGGGGGCCAACCAATTGGGCCACAGGCCCGGTTGGCAATTAAAATAATTAATAACATAATAATACATTATATTATAAATTTATAATATTAAGTATCATACTAACGGAATATTTTCAAAATATAAATACTTAAATGCCAATACTATAAAACAGTATTTCTCTTCGTATTTTCTCTTTTTCTTTTTTTAATTATTTGCCCAGCCTTTTCCTGTTTTCTTTTTTTCTTTCAGTGTTTTCTTTTTTTCCTCTTTCAGTTGTCACAGTCTTCTTATTCGCCAAAACAGCATAAAGGTTAAGCTAAAGCAACAGAGAAAAAGAGGAAGGAGCGCACAGAAGGAACGAAGATCTAACGGCCATGGGATGAGACGTGAAAGCCGAAACCGGAGCAGCTCAAACTTTTTTTCCGGTAACAGCTGCTAAGAAAAACGGAGAGAAACCGCAGAGTCGTAAAAAAAAAAAAGTTTTTTTTCCCGGTACGGTTTTTGCCGTCTTGTTTGCTGAATTCAACATCCTTGTTTCTGATCGTTTGCGTTGTGGAAGATTTTAGGATAATTGGAATATGAATTTCATGTTCGCTTCATTGAAACAGCTGAATTTTGTGGTGATCAGAGAGTTTTTGATGAGTTCTGTGCCATTTTGTGCATTTTCAGGCTGTTTTTGATTGAAGAAATTGTTTGAATTTGCAGTATCTGAAGGTTTTGTTTGGTGACTGAGAAAATTCTGTCTGAATTTTTTATCAGGTAATTTATAGAGAGATTGGAGAAGGCAGTCGACTTTTTTTTACATGATTTTTGGAGTTTTGGACTATATTGATCAGGTAATTTTCATTCTGTTTCATTTCATCATCAAATCTTTGTTTTTTTATTCTAATGAAGGATGAATTAACGTGTTGCCTTTGTTGATTAGGAAGCTAAGGTAGTGGGAGATTTCAAGGATTTGTAGGAATTGTGGCTTCTGGTTCTGGTGTTGGTCAGCTACCAGAATTCTGTGACAAAGAGTGTTCCACTGTAAAACATTAAGAGGTGTTGGTGTTGGAGCTTGAGTCATGGCAACTGCAGGGCGTCATGCTGATTCTAAAGGCATGTATTCATGGTGGTGGAACAGCCACATAAGCCCCAAAAATTCCAAATGGCTCAAGGAGAATCTTACAGGTACTAAATCTGTTTCTTATGGGATTAGTTTTCATTTCTACTTGCAATATCAAGATAGTTTTACTTTTACAGAAGGGCACTGTGACGATTGAATCTGTGAGATTTTTGTGATTTGAATTGAACTGAAAACGTGCCAACAATTGGATGTGTCATGTCTAATTCTGTTTAAATGTTGAGTTCATCTTTGGCTGTTCCCTAAACCCTTAAGGAAGGAAACCGGGCCTTCCTAATACCTATTCCTATTTTTCCATTCTGGCTATTGACTTTACGGGAGAGACTTTAAATGCGTTATTTAACTCACTGCTTAAGAATGTTTAGTCCGGGTTTAGAAATGGAAATGCGCAAAAGAGCTACATATAACCCATAACTTTTTTTTAGAATGCTTGTTAAACTGTTAGGGAATAATTCAGGCATATTGTTTGTGGGTAACATTCTTTTCTTATTTTTTAAGAGTAAATTTTAGTGTTAGAGATCGAAAAAAAGAAGCATGTCCATTTCCTAAGTATTTGAAATACTCTTTTCTTGGCATTCTAGTTTAGGTTTACTGAACATCCCAACCCACTATGGAATCATTTGCAATCAATGTTCTCCTGCTGAAGGCACACTTCTTTGGCTTAAAGTGAGGTTCAGGATAACCTGCATGGCATGAGTTCACAGACTGAAAGAAACATCTATGTACCAACTTAAAACATATTATTTTCCTTATCTAGAAGATAGTGTAAAATATTATAAATGTCTTGATTTGTTCTTAAAGTTTATATTTTCATCTGCTGAGTTTTACCACATTGAGACTCTCTCTATCTTTGTCTTTATCTTGCTTGATACTTGATTTGACAATCAATTTCCTTCTCTTACACAGATATGGATACTAAAGTCAAGCAAATGATCAAGCTCATTGAAGAAGATGCAGATTCCTTTGCTAGGAGGGCGGAGATGTACTATAAGAAACGACCAGAGCTTATGAAATTAGTAGAGGAGTTTTATCGAGCATACCGTGCATTGGCTGAGAGATATGATCATGCAACTGTGGTGCTCTGCCAGGCTCATCGGACAATGGCAGAAGCATTTCCCAACCAAGTTCCCTTGGTATTTCCAGATGATTCACCTGCAGGTTCTGCTTGTGAGGTTGATCCACATACACCAGAGATGCCACCCCCAGTTCGTGTCTCATTTGATCCCCATGAGTTGCAAAGGGATGCTGGCTTGAATAATGGAGTGTTCACTGAAGAACCTGACTCTGTAACTATCAGGAAAGGTTTGAAGCAGCTCAATGATTTGTTTGGGTCTGGAGATGCAAAAAACCATGTGAAGTATGGGGAAGGAAAGGCAAGAAAAGGCCTCAATTTTCTGGATGTGGATGAGAACGAACAAAATTCACTAAACCATGGGAGCACTGACCTCAAGGTTCGAGTGCCGTCTGAATCTGAACGAGTTGGTAAGGCTGAGATGGAGATTTTAAACTTGAAGAAAGCTCTTGCTAGATTAGAAGATGAAAAGGAAGCAGGCCTACTTCAATACCAACAGAGCTTAGAAAGATTGTCTAATCTAGAGGCAGAAGTTGCTCGTGCACAAGGTGATTCCATGGGACTTAATGAACGTGCCAGCAAAGCTGAAAGTGAAGTTCAGACATTGAAGGATGCCCTCACCAAATTAGAGGCTGAAAGGGAAGCTAGTCTTGTCCAATACCAGCAGTGTTTGGAGAAAATGTCTAATCTTGAGACTAATATTTATTGTGTCCAAAAGGATGCTGGAGAACTAAATGAGCGGGCTAGTAATGCTGAAACTGAAGCTGAAGCCCTAAAGCAATATCTTGCTGGAGTAGAAGCTGAAAAGGAAGCTTCTCAGCTTCAGTACAAGCAGTCCCTGGAGACAATATCTAATCTGGAAGAGAAACTACTTCATGCTGAAGAAAATGCCAGGAGGATAACTGAGCAGGCTGAGAAAGCTGAAGGTGAAGTTGAGACTTTAAAGCAAGCAATCAGCAAGTTGACTGAGGAGAAGGAAGCAGCTGCTGTTCAGTACAATCAGTGCTTAGAGAAAATATATATTCTGGAGCAAAAAATTGCTTGTGCAGAAGAGGAAGCTCTAAGGCTTAACAGAGAGGTAGATGATGGAGTTGCGAAGTTAAAGGTTTCTGAAGAAAGGTGTCTTCTCTTGGATAGATCCAATCAGAGTCTGCAAGCTGAATTGGATTCTTTGGTGCAGAAGATGGGGGCTCAAAGTGAAGAGCTCACAGAGAAGCAGAAGGAGCTGGGGAGGCTTTGGACTTCCATGCAGGAGGAGCGCTTGAGATTTATGGAGGCTGAAACTGCTTTTCAAACCCTGCAGCATCTGCATTCTCAATCTCAGGAAGAACTGAGATCTCTGGCCTTGGAGCTTCGGAATAGGACTCAAAATTTGAAGGATATTGAAGCTTGTAAACAGGATTTGGAGGATGAACTCCTTAAGGTCAAGGATGAAAACAAGAACCTGAAAGAACTGAATTTGTCTTCTTCTGTGACAATTGAAAATCTGCAAGGTGAGATTTTAAGTTTTAGGCAGACAATACAAAAACTTGAAGCAGAAGTTGAACTTAGAGTGGACCAAAGGAATGCTCTTCAGCAAGAAATTTACTGTTTGAAAGAGGAAATTAATGATCTAAACAAGAGACTCCAGGCTATGATGGGGGAGGTGGAGTCAGTGGGCTTAAACCCAGAATGCTTTGGGTCATCTGTGAAGGTGTTGCAGGAAGAAAACACAATGCTAAAAGAGGTCTCTAAAGGACTCAGAGTTGAAAAACTAGTTCTTTTAGAGAAGCTGGATATCATGGAGAAACTTGTTGAGAAAAATGCTGTTTTAGAGAATTCTCTCTCTGATCTAAATGTTGAGTTGGAAGGAGTGAAAGGGAAGGCAAAGGCTTTGGAAGAATCCTGTCACTCTCTCTTGGGGGAGAAATCTGCTCTTGCAGCTGAGAAAGACACATTGATTTGTCAGATACAGATTGCAACTGAGAATTTGGAGAAACTCTCAGAGAGGAACAACTTTCTGGAGAATTCCCTTTTTGATGCTAATGCTGAACTTGAAGAGTTGAGGATAAAATTCAAGAGCGTAGAAGATTCTTGTCTGTTGCTTGGTGATGAGAAGTCCAGCCTGATCATGGAGAGAGAAGGTTTGGTTTCCAAGTTGAATGTTAGTGAGACAAGGCTGAAAGATTCAGAGAAAAGATATGTGGAATTGGAAGAAAAATGTATGAGTCTGGAGAAAGAGAGAGAATCCATGTGTCGTGAAGTTGAAGAGCTGCAAAATTCACTAGCTTCTGCCCAACAACAACAAACTATTTTTGCACAGTCAAGTGAAATCCGACTGACTGCTATGGAATTGCAGATTCATTCCCTGCATGAGGAAAGTCAATTCAAGAAGAAACAATATGAAGAGGAACTGGACAAGGCCATGACTGCTGAGATGGAGATTTTTATCTTGCAGCAATTCATTAAAGATCAGGAAGACAAGAATTTCTCCTTGTTCAGTGAGTGTCGTAAGCATTTGCAAGCTTGTAAACTGTCAGGAAAAAGGATATCTGAGTTGGAGCATGAAAACTGTGAAAAACAGGTGGAGATGAAAACTGCACTTGATCAAATTAGAATGCTGAGAATGTCAAATTTTCAGGTGTTGAAGACTCTTGAGATTGATACATTCTATGATTGTGAAGATAAGATTGAGCAGGACCAAATGTATCTTAGTGTTATACTTGGCAGACTTAAAGAGATGCAAAATTCTCTTTTAAAGGCCGTAGAGGAAAATCAGAAGTATGTTATTGAGAATTCAGTTCTCATTGTACTGCTTGGGCAACTGAAACTAGATGCAGATAATCTTGCAGAAGAGAAGAATGCTCTTAATCAGGAATTGTGGATCCAATCTGAGCAGTTTACATCACTCCAGCACAGAGCCCAAAAACTTGTGGAGATGAATGAAGAATTGAGTTCACAAGTGATGTCAGGAGGCCATAGAGAAGTTGTTTTGGGCACTGAAATAGAGAAACTGCATGGGCAACTATCTGAATTGCAAAGGCTATACCAGAATTTACTGGAAGAAAATTGCAAGGTGCTTGATGAGAGAAGGTCCTTGACGAAGGAAATATTTGACTTATGTGAAGAGAAGCATAATCTAGAAGAACAAAACTCCGTTCTCCTCTCTGAAGTGGTATCTCAAAGTAACAGTTCTCTAATTTTCAAAAATATTATGATTGACAATTTTGAGGAAGTAAAGCAGCTCAGTTATGATCTGGGTAAACTCAACTGTGTCAATAATGGCCTTGAGGAGAATTTAAGGAAAATGGAGAGGAAGCTTGAGGATATGCAGATGGAAAACTCACATCTCAAAGATACATTGCGAAACTTGGAGAATGAACTGATTTTGGTTAGATCAGTTAGTGAGCAGTTGAATCTTCAAGTGGCAAATGGGAAGGATCTACTTTTCCAGAAGGAAAATGCACTTTTGGAAGCAGAACAGATGCTTAGTGAAGCACAGGATGAAAGAACAGAACTGCAGAAGATAGTGGAGGACCTAAAGAGGAAGTATGAGGAGGTTAGCATGACTAGAGAAAATCAGGAGAAGCAGATTATGAAGCTATGTGGAGACTATGATCATCAGGTAAAGGAGACTGAAAACCTTCAGGAAGCTAATCAGAAACTGGACGTTGAACTGTTGAAATTGCATCAAGAACTTGAGAAAACCAAATACGTGGAGGAAATTTTGAGTGATGAACTACGGAAGGGAAAGAATGAGATTGAATTCTGGGAGACTAAGGCTTCTGCATTATTTGGTGAGTTGCAGATTTCTGTTGTGCAAGAAGCAATGCTTGAAGGGAAACTTCATGAACTTAACGAGGCACATGAAGACCTTGAAAATAGAAGTACTTTGAAAGTTATGGAGGTTGATGAGTTGAAAGAAAGAATTAGCACCTTGGAAGGTGAGAATGGAGGTCTCAAAGCTCATGTGGCTGCATATGTCCCTGCTGTCAATTCTCTGAAGAACTGTATAACATCTTTGGAGAATTGTATTCTCATGCGTGCTAAACATCTTGCAGGTGACAAAGAAGTGAAGGTAATGTATTCTTATCTGCTTTTGAACTTTTTCCACTGCAAACTATGGTTCAACTAACCCATGTATGTTTTAGTTGCGCACATATGAGCACCTGGAGATCAATTAGCATGCATCTGGTTTGGTGCCATGTAGAGGTTAATTTGCAGTAGCAGTTTATTTTGCTGGTTACTATTTTTGTCGAATCTGCAGAACCTTTTTAGCCAAAAACTGTGTCCTATCCTTTCTTGCCTTTCTTGTCTTACATTTTTTTTGGGTCAGATCCTTAGCACTTGTAGTTTGGATCTGTGTAGTTTTTCTGGCTTTGTCATTTAATAAAACTACTCATTTTCTTAAGAAAATCTGTTTAGAAATTTGTTTTTGTTAATGTTAGGCTCCAAATCATGGTTGATTGTCGAAATTCTGTGATCCTATAGGTTGTTTTATTAGCTGTTGCCTTTATGTCACGTCATTTTACTTCTTGAGCTTCTTAGCTGCTTTTATCCAGAGTGGTTGAATATGTAGTTTCTGTTTTTAACTTGCTTAGGCATTCTTATCAGTTACCAGAAAAAAGTTAAATGATACTTAAAAGCTAGTCAAAACCTTGTATCTGCCATTGACTCTAAGTTTATCTTGATGGGCTAGATCTCGATGGTCAACTTAGTGTATAAAGGTTCCAAAATTTTTTCAACCGTACAATTGGATTTTTAAGTTACTCTCTACCATTTCTTGACTCAAAGATATTTTATGTACATTTTCCAGGATGCTAATATGTCAGATGGACTGCATGCTGAAAGCTGTCAGAAGACAAATGAAGATCAATTAACAGTTCCTGACAGTTTTTCTGACATGCAATATATGGAATTCAGAATTAAATCTATTGAAAAAGTACTAATGGAAATGGAGAAGTTTGCAATGCTGGAAAGAAGAAATGCTAATTCCAGAATAGAGGCTGCTATGAGACAGATTGAGGAGTTAAGGTCTGGGAACCACTCTGGTCGAGAAAGTATTCGAGCAAAGAAGCATATGAATGCAAAGCGAGAGGATGGTCATTTTCTCAGTAAGATGCAGAAACCAACACCTGAAATCTCTGAAGAGAGCACTGATGTGATGACAAAAGACATTATGCTTGATCAGGTATCTGATTGTTCATCATATGGGTTAAGCAGGAGAGACACTTTGGAGATTGACGATGAGATGCTTGAGTTGTGGGAAACTGCCAATCGCAATGGCAGCATAGACCTGAAAGTTGGAAAGGCTCGGAAGGGAGTTACCATGCCAACCGATCACCATAACATTGAACCAGTTAAGCAACGGAAGGGAAAAAATCTCTCCACGGAATCTCTGGTAAAGGAGTTGGGTGTAGACAAATTAGAGGTCCCAAAGAGATATGCAGAGCCAGACCAGGAAGGAAGCAGGAGGAAGATTTTAGAAAGGCTAGATTCTGATGCACAGAAGTTGACAAACCTTCATATCACCGTGCAGGACTTGAAGAGGACGGTGGAGATTACTGAGAAGGCCAAAAAGGGGAAGGGACTTGAACTTGATACTGTTAAAGGGCAGCTGGAAGAAGCTGAGGAAGACATCATGAAGCTGTTTGACATAAATCGCAAATTGGTGTCTCATGTTGAAGATGGTTCCTTGTCCCTTGATGGGAAATCCACAATAGAGTCAGATGGGAACAGAAGTCTCAGGAGGCGGACAATATCAGAACAGGCACGGAGAGTGTCTGAAAAGATTGGGCGATTGCAGTTGGAGGTGCAGAAGTTACAGTTTCTTTTATTGAAACTCGATGATGAAAAAGAAAGCAGGGGAAGAACCAGAATTACAGATCGAAAAACAAGAGTTCTCTTGAGAGACTATCTCTATGGTGGGAGAAGAACTATCCAGAAGAAAAAGAAAACACCTTTTTGTTCATGCGTGCAACCCCCAACAAGAGGAGACTGAGGCAATTACATTTGGCATGCATCATCAGTCGATATTGTTTTCAAATGTAAGGAGACATTAGTTGTATTGTCCATAAATTTTCTTAGACAGAATTTGGCCGTTGGTTTAGAGGCTCTGTTGTACATTTCAGGCTCTATCTATCAAAAGAAGCTGCTCTATTGTGGCCGGCTTTGCTTAAAGCTGGGTTTTATTCTATTTACTTTTTTTCATTTCTACATCACTATACAATCTGATGAATTGCCTCTGAAGCTACTAAGTTTTCACATTTTTAATGGAGCTCTTATACAGCAAAAGGAAGAAATCACCATGAAAAATAAGCTGTTAACACTTTTTCTTGCTTATTCATCTTTGTAACGCAAGGGCTTAAAACTTCACCATAGCAAGCCCGTTCGTAAATTGTGTTACTGCACTCGTTATTCTTTCTATTATTCTTTCTGTCATATCTGAAATACAAGACTTCATGAAACTCGTTAATTAAAGAGGAATACAATGAAGAAGTCTATTGATAACAAACATCTAATCACAATCCAAGAATCATTTCCCCAATTCAGAATTGAGAATTGTAGAAGAAGAAACAAGAATTGAGAGAGGAAAGAAGGAGAAAGAAAGAGAAGAAGGATATGGAGGGGAGGAAACAGAGGAGAAGAACACGGGAGAAGGGAAACTGTATTACGTTATCTTATCCAAGCAGGTCCTTCTAATTCAAAGTCTTTACACTTATAGTCCCTAGCACAAGCTAAAATACACTAATTACCCTTTTTAAAAAGAAATGGATAATCTAAGGTAGTTCCTCCATTTTTCTGAAAATTTTGTTTAAAAATTTAACTTTTACTTAATATTTTTAAAAATTTATTGTTAGATTTAAAATTTTATTCATATAAATTATATATGTTAATTTTCATAATTAACTAATATTTATAACTTTTTAATAAAAAAACTCTATTTATTGATAATATAATATATATTTGACAGTGTTAAATTTATCATAATTAACTAAGTAATCAAATCTATTAACATAATTTAAAAATTAATATACATAATTTATATAAATAAAAATTTTAATTTAACAATTAATTTTAAAAAATATTAATTAAAAAATAAAATTTTAAATATATATTAAAATAAATTAAGAAAATACCGACATGTAAAACTCTATTTCCTTTGAAAGAAACGGATATGCAACGAAAATGCATCTCAACCTGGAGTAAGACTTCGCTGGAGCCCGTCCACTTCAAACTTAACACATCAGCTAGGTTGCTCTCCGTTTGTCTACTTTACTCCGTTGACATTTGCTCACCATTGCCCTACATGAGAAATAAAAGTTCATCGAATTGATTTATTAATTTAAAAAATTTAATTTAAAATTAAATATTTAAATCTTTATAACATCAAACAGTAAATTTCTAATTAAAAAGGAAAAAGGAAAAAAGAAGACCCCGGTGCCCGGCCTTTTAATATTAACTAACCCACATGGCTGATGTGTTTAAGTTTTCAATGGATAATATCCGTGATTGTGAAGTTAAAGGCTTTTTCTTTGGCTGAATTTAATAAATAGTGTATTAATTATTATTTTTTTATTTATTTAATCTACTAATAATCTTTTCTCTAACTAATGTATTAATAAAGTTTGTATCTTTTTCTATACATTTTCTCTCATATATGCCTAGTTCGTAAAAGATCCCTATATGAATTAACGGAAATTTAATTAATATTAGTTGCCACATAGGCACTACATGGTCAATTTAATTAATATTATAAAATTTAAATTTCCAACTATTAAAATTAATTTTTTAGTTAACTAAACTCTAAGTCATGGTAAAAAGCGAAACACATCTAACTTTTTTCATAATTAAGTCTCCCTTAAACTTATCTTAGAAAGGTCTCAATTTTTTTTTTAATAATTGATCTCCCTTGAGATTTAACTTATTCTAATTAAATTGATAATTTTTTTGATTGAATTAAATTAATAAATTTGAAACTAATTCTCATAAAAAAATAAATTTGGAACTGAAAAAAAAAAATAAAACTAAGACCTAAAGGGTGTAAAATTAAATTTGTTTTGGACTTAATTGAATAAAATCAAAAGCTTATATTTTAAAACATGGATGGTTTAGCCACGTGGCACCTTATGACAGCTCATCTACGTCGCTGCCACATATGTGCCAGCGTGGATTTCCATTAGTCCGATGTAGGCAACTTTAATGGATTATATATTGATACTATTTTGAAAATCAATAGATTGGTTAGATTAAAAAAATAGTTAATTGACAAAATAATTAGAAATTAAGGTAATGATTAAAAAAGTACTCATTAAATTTACCCCTGGAGGAGGAAGGTCCCTGATGGTGATTCATAATGGTAAAAATCTAAATTTTTTTTTATTAAAAAATATATCGCCTTTCGAATCCTGAAAATTGTTTTGAGGAAATCTAATACATAAGACTGGAAATTAATCACCCCTAACCATTTAAATTTAGAGTTTTTTTTTTTTTTTTTATGTAAAACGAAAGATTTATATCATTAAGTAGAAGCTACATCATCCAAAAGCAGCTTAAGTAGTATGTTAGGAGGACGATGCGCCCAATACGAGGGGCATTGTCCAGTTCTTGATGAGTGGGCAATCCAGTCTGCTACCCTATTACCATTACGATGTACAAAGACAAAGCTATATCCAGGGTGGCATACACATAAATGTCGAATATGCATGATAAGGGTTTTTGCCTCCCATGGTAGAGGCCTAAGTGATTGTTGCAAAGATGAGATTAAAACCTGATTATCAGATTCAAAGATGGCTTGGTGAATTCCTCTATTTTCAACAAAATGTATAGCTTTAAAGAGAGCAGCTGTTTCAGCCATAAGTGGGGATAAGGCCATACAGTTCCAAGTCTTACCGAAACACATCGCCCCATTTGAGTCGCGCCCAACCATGGCCAAGGTTGCAAACCCCGTGTTCGGTGAAAAAGATGCGTCAACATTGATCTTTAGGGTGCCATGTGGCGGCTTAGACCATGACGACTGGGACTGTTGTGTAGTTGGTCGAGGCCTGGACGGGTTATCAATAGATCTTTCTGGTTTGAGGGCAAGAGTTCTTGGAGCATACCAGAAACTCGAGCAAGAACCTGATGAGGAGAAATTTCTGCATGCTCAAAATGTGTCTCATTTCTTGCCTTCCAGATGTGCCAGCAAATAATAGCACAATGGTCAAGCAAAGAAGGATAGTGCATTTGTTGAGCCACCTGTTTAATATACTTCCACCATTCCACAAAACAACCCACCCCCAGTTGCCTAGGGTCAAGACCCAAGGCTGAACCAAACCAAATTGGTTCGACGTGAGGGCAATAAAAGAGCAAATGCATTAGTGATTCATCAGCTACCTGACAGAGAGGACATAAAGCCTCTTGCACAATCCCCCTTTTCACCAAATTATCCATGGAGGGTAAAGCATTCAAAATGGCTCTCCAAAGAAAGACTCTAACATTAGGAGGCACTTTCAGTTTCCACAAGTGTTTCCACTCACCAGAAGAGAGGCCCATATTTGTGCTATCCATATTCGTTTCATGCTGCCTACTACATGCAAGAAGATAAGCACTCTTGACAGTAAATTCTCCATTTTTGTCATAATGCCATATAAGAGAATCAGAGCAAAGCCCGGTGGGGATTTTAAGGATTTCCTGACGTTCCATGCTACTGAAAGATGTATTTAATTTATTAACATCTCAATCCCCATAGTCATCAAGCAACTCACAAACATGAGAGAAAATTGAAAGAGTGCTTTGTGAGGAGGTTACCTTGAATTCGGGTAAGGTGGGAACCCATTTGTCTTGATAAATCAAAATGTCCTAGCCATTGCCTACATTCCACCTTGCACCCAATTGCACAATGTCCCTTCCTTTTAAGTTGCTAGACCATGCCCATGACGGATGACTCCCTTTCCCATTTAAATTTAGAGTTTAAAAAGGTCTTTGTAACTGCGTTGGGTTTGTCCGCCGTGTTGTGGACCTTGACCCCACATCAAACATCAACACCGTGAAACTTAAAGAAATGGAAAATGTTTTTTTTAATAATTTTTT